AGAAGTATATGCTCTATCTATTCTAACGGAGTTTTTAAGAACAATCTTTTCTCAATGAACTTGAGACTTTCTTAGGCTAAATTTACTGAGGAAAATGTTATTCCACGTTTTAAAACACACACAGAGACACGCACACCTCCTTATAGATTAGCTTGTACAGATAAGGCAAACTAGGTCAAATCTTACTTCCAGAAATACATCTATACGGCCCTTCCATAACAAGGATTACAGAAAGAACCCGCATAAAAATAGTTCCCAAGTGTGAGAGGTGGTTGATTTTGAGTGTTCATGTGATTGGATTAAGAGATACCCAGACAGCTGGTGGAACGGTAACCATTCTCAGTGCGTTGGGAAACCCCGAGCTCATTCTTCTGCTGCTGAGAGGGAAGCCCAGGTGGTTTGGCATTTGACTGGGATGACCGGGCTGCCCCAGGTGTGTCTTTGAAGGGAGGGATGTTTCTGCAGGAGACATGTGAGCAGGTGGACTGACTGGGGAGCACCCACCCTCGATGTGAAGAGGCACCATCCAATCGGCTGGGGTCCCGGATGGAGCAAACAAGGCAGAGGGAGGGAGAATTCACTCTCTCGTCCAGAGACGGCATGGCCCTTCTTCTCCTGTCCTTGAACATCAGAACTCCAGGGGAATCTGGGACTCACAGCAACCTCTTCCCCCGCCCCTCCCCCTCCGTCTTAGACTCCTGGGTCTTGGGCCTCGGACTCAAGAGTTTCGCTACTGGCGTCCTTGGGTCTAAGGGCTTTGGACTGGAACTGAGTCTTGCCAATGGCTTCCCTGGTGCTTCAGCTTCCAAACAGACTGTACTGGGACTTCTCAAGCCTCCACCATCAAGCAAGCCAATGCCCCTAACAAATCCCTTCTCATCTGTCTCTCTCTCTCAATATATATCCTATCAACTGTGTCTCTCTGGAAAACCCTGACTAAAACACCAAGTATTTCTCTATCAGTGTCAACGGTTAGAACTACCAGCTGGTAAATATAGTATATACGATTATATCATAACATTCGGTAAAAGTGACTATAATTAGCCGGTTTGGAGTATCACAAATGGCTAACTCCTAATACTTTAGTTGTAGAAAGTGATCACAAAAAAGTTGATTAATCTTTTTTTTTTTTTTTTTGGAGGGAGACAGAGTCTCACTCTGTCGCCCCAGCTAGAGAGTACGGTGGTGTCATTACAGCTCACTGCAACTTCAAATTCTTGCGTTTAAAGAGATCCTCTTGCCTCAGCCTCCCAACTATCTGGGACTACAGGTACGTGCTACCACACCCAGCTAATTTTTCTATTTTTAGTAGAGATGGGTGTTGCTCTTGTTCAGGCTGGTCTCGAACTCCTGACCTCAAGCAGTCCTCCCACCTTGGCCTCCCAGAGTGCTAGGATTACAAGTGTGTAATCCTAGCATGTGTAAGCCACCATGCCAGGCTTAAAATTAATCTTAGTAACCAAAGACCTGTTGTTTTTTTTTTTTTTGGTGGGGGGAATCAGGTTAGACTCCTATATATATTATGAGAAATAACATTTTAATAACTTCGCTAAGTGAAAAGTCACATACCACTTGAAGAATTCTACATAGGACCAAATACTCTCCCCTTTGCTATAGTTTTTAAAAAAGGAAATGTAGATAAAAGTTACATCTCTCTTTTTGTGAGGGTGGAATACTTTCTGTTTGTAAAGCTGTAATGCACAGGAGTGATGAACCTCTGTTAGTTTAAGACTAAGCTTTCTGAATAATATTAAATACTTTATGTGTTTTCCCACTATAGCATATTTTCTTCTCTCTTCATTCTTCTATGCTGTAAGTAGACAGCTTCAAAGATGGCTCTCGACGATCCTACCTCCTGGTACTCATGTAATCCCCTCTCTGAGTGTGGGCTGGACCTAGTGACTCACTCCTCATCAACGGAATATGGGAAAAATGAAGAGATGCCACTTTTGAGATTACGTTACAAAGGCAGTGTGCCTTCCATCGTGCTTACTCTCTCTTGCTTGCTCTACTGGAAGTTGCTGCCCTGGTGTGAGCTGCCCTAAGGAAAAAGCTCACGTGGCAAGGAACTGGGGCTGGCTTCTGGCACATGGCTCACCCCCTTGACCCAACAACAAGCCTAGATCTAAATGCCGCCCATAGCCATGCAAGTGAACTGGAGGCACAGCCTCCCTCGAGACCTCAAGGGGAGGCCACAGCCCTAGCAGACATGCTGAGTGCAGCTTTTCGTGAGATCCTGTGCTAGGACCCAGCCAAGCAATTCTCCACTCTTGATCAACAAATCAAGAATCCCAGATTCTTGATCAACAAAAACTGCTGCTTGTTGTTTCAAGCTGCTACGTTTTGCAGAGATTTGTTGACGTAGTGCTATAGGTTGCATTGTGCTCCCCACCAAATTCAGGCTGAAATCTTAACCCTCAGTACTTTAAATGTTATTAGAAAACAGCATCTTTACAGAGGTGATCAAGTTAGGTCATTAGGGCGGGCCCTAATCCAGTGTGACCAGGGTCCTTAGGAATCTGGACAAAGAGCACAGAAGGGAGATGAGGTGAAGAGACACAGGAAAGATGGCCATCTAGCAGCCCAGAACAAATCCTTCCTACACAGGCCTCAGAAGGAACCAACTCTGCAACACCTTGCTTTCAGACGTCTGGCCTCCAGACAGGGAGACAATAAATTCCTGTTGCTGAAGCCACCCAGTCTCTGGTACTTTGTTACGGCAGCCCTAACGAACTAATACACATAGTAATAGATAACGACATACACATAATTCAAGGTGATTTTTTATCAGTACCAAAATTAGTCTCCATGAAGGATTTTAAGTAGATACCCAAAAAATATTAGCCCATAGCAGAAAATCTCAGGACCACAGATTTTCAGTGAGCTGGGACCCCTGCAATCATATGATCGACTCATTTCAAAATTTGATGATGAAGAAGAGGAGGTGGAGGAGGAAGAGGGGGAGGAGCCAAGAACTAGTTCAAACACTTAATGTACATTAATTCTTCATAACAACCCCAAGAGCTGCCACTATCATCAACTCCATTTGTAAGATGAAGAAACTGACGTCCAGAAGTGGCAAGGCCAGGATTTGAATAAACCAGATGCACAGAGAAAAGGGAATTTACCCGACATCATAGCTGGTAGCTGAGCGGGGACTAAACCTGACGGTACCGCAGCCCACGTTCATATCTTGTTTTCTCAAAAAAGTCAAATAAGAAAGCTTTCCTTTTGCTTGCTTTATCCATTTTTTTTTGTCATACTGCTACCTTAGAAGTATACATTTACGTATCTGTGTGCCCTCTTCTTCTAACCCCACTAACGTGGGTTCTTATTTTTTTTTCCACTCCCTGAACCCTAAAACCCTTCCCCCCTTCCAAATTCTAATACTTTTCTTGCACTTATATTATTCTTTTTTTATATATGGGAACTTAGGATTTCACTTGTACACGGTTTGGGAAATACAGCCTTAGCTTAACCTTTGATCCCAATTAAAATGCAAATATAGTAGTTTCCCTTATCCAAGGTTTCACTGCCAGGGTTTCAGTTACCTGCGGTGTAGAGTACTGTAAGATAGAGATAGAGAGATGAGAGAGAGAGATGAGAGAGATAGAGATGAGAGAGATAGAGATGAGAGATGGGAGAGAAAGAGAGAGAGAGAGACTATATAACTTTCATTACAGTGTATTATTATAATTGCTCTATTTTATTATTATTGTCACTAATCTGCTATACCTAATTTATAAATTAAACTCTATCATAGGTATGTATGTACACAGAAAAAATAGTATATATAGGGTTCAGTGCTATCTGGGGTTCAAGCATCCACTGGGGGTCATGGAACACATCTCCCTGGGACAAGAAGGGCCACTCCTATACAACTGGAAGGAGGATGACTATTCTATTATCATGTCTCTGCATTTTAGCAGGAATAAAGTCAGATCCATTCCAGAGAACAACAGCCTTTGAAGCAAAGAAAGTCGACGTGAAGTTTTAACACTACCACGCCCTAAGCTACATACTTGTCCAGGGACACCTGACGGAAGAATCAGAGTCCGTCCTGGGAAACCCAGGGTAGGATACTTAAGAATCAGCCTTTCTTCGGGAGTCTGGATCAGGAGACATAAAGCTTGGGAGGCTGTGGCAGCCAGGGTTCCCATCCCAGAGAAGGGAAACGCGATGACAGCCAGTTTCCAAAGAGACAGAGGAGAATGAGGCAGACGGGCAGAGGACAGGGGCTCCGCCGGGAGCCCGCGGGAAGCCCGCTTGTGTCTGGGCCCCCCGTTCTCATTGTGCAGTCCAGCTGCGTCTCTGTCCTCGGGCCCTGCGGTGTCCTCCTGGGACACCCCCCGAAGCCTGACAACTTCTTTTCAGTTAAACTAACTCGAACTGAGTCACTTGAAATCAACAGAGAACACGGTCAAAAAGGTATCCTCTCTAAAGCGGAAGAACGTTACTGAAAAATTAATTCGTAACTCCGTGCAAAAGATAAACTTGTCAGTAACAGCAAAGGAAAATAAAAAAAAAAAACACTACAACTAAGGCAACTGGGCAGCCGCAGTAGTCTCAAGCGCCTCACGACAGGGCTTATCGTTTAAAAGAGTCAAAGTAACCATGACATAAAATAAAGTGTTCCAAATCCTGTGCGTTAAAAAAAATGCTAGATTTTTTTCTAGGGGAAAAAAAGAGGAAATGATGCCTTACAAATATGGTTTTATCCTCTATAAGCACCTAAGATAAAAGCAGTAATCATTTAAAGCCAGAATGGAAACTGAAGACAATTTATTCTAATGAACCTCACTGCTGGTGCAGAAAACTAAAAGCCAACAAGGAAAGGCGGCTTGCCCAAGGTCACCCAGCCATCAGGTGTAAAGGAGGAAACCAGGCCCCTCTGAATCACAGTTCAGTGGTCCTGCTGTGACACAGTGATGCGGGAAAGACCCTCACGATTCCCTTCCTGGCTCCTTTTCCAACAGACAAAGCAATCCTATAAAACTGACCTGGTTCTTTGTTCTGGGCTGGCATGAACCTGCGTCAAGACAATAGAAACGGCAGGCACTTTCTTCCTGAAGCAGACGTGCAGAAGTATTATACCTGCGATGAAGGAAGGAAAAAGAAAAAACTCAGTTTAGGTTCGGAATATAAACTGACTCGGCATCACGGAGTCATTCATTTTCCACTGATTTTATATCTCACTTGTTGCCTCGCTTATTTAATAATGGAACACGTAACACTTTATTTAAGACAGGTAAAATTTGCGATTAAAAATCCACGAAGGCCAGGCACAGCGACTCATGCCTACGATCCCACCACTACTGGGAGAGCAGGGCGGGAAGACTGCTTGAAGCCAGGAGTTCAAGACCAGCCTGGGCAACAGAGAGAGACCTCATCTATACGAATAAAATAAATTAGCTGGGTACGGTGGCACGTGCCTGTAGTTCCAGCCAATCAGGTGGTTAAGGCTGAAGTATCACCTAAGCCCAGGAGTTCTAGGTGGCAGTGACCTATGACTATCCCACTGCACTCCAGACTGGGTGAAAAAAGCAAGACCCTGTCTCAAAAAAAAAAAAAAAAAACATGAAAAAAATAGTCATTTAAAGCTAGTTTCTATGGACCATCTCATTCAGCTTCTTCACTTTACTGGTGAAGAAACCAAGACCTGGAGAAGTTGTGTGATGAATCGACGACAACACAGTTACGCACTGGCAGAGTGAGGTTCAGAACCCAGTGCTTCCCACTTCCAGTCCAATATTCATTTGTACATCGCAGACCACACAGTCTCTTTTTTGGACAAAACAAAAATGCACGTTATTTCTCTAGATGTGTTTGGCAAACACCTGCAGATAAATGTGGTATAGAGCTAAGCTGATTTGTTATAAATTAAAATTTTTCAAAATCTACTGTCTCACTCAAAGGTCATATTCCACCCTTGAGTTACTTAGTGTGCCCCATACAGGATATTTAAATGTTTTATTTTATTTACCATTCAGTATTTCAATATGAAAACACCAGTGTACGAATCATGACATCTAGTTTCTGATCGTTCTTGTTAACTCTGTTCTCAACAAGTTCTATGGTTTAGTCAATTACTCCTTTGGTTCCCAAAGCTCTTTTATTCAAAAACGAGATGTTTGGACTCAATTTCCCAGGGGCCTTCTAACTCCAAAATGTTATGCCTAAGAGTAGCTTCATCTTTAGCAACATTCTGCTCTTCGGGTCAGCTATTTGTTTTTACCATTTAACTTTCTTGTCAGTCCCTTTGATCATACAATAAATAGCTCAAACAAAATTAGTAATACTGCCTTCAAATATATAGGTAATTATACAAAAGACTATCCAACAGTAACCTAGTTTTGCTATCTATCTCATTTCTTGGCTGATTCTTATTTTATAGGAAGCCAGCTAGACGTGGAAGGAAAAATATTCTTTAAAAGTCTACCTCTTAGGTGGTTCCTAGGAAAAATCCTTTATTATGTCCTCAAATCACTGATCCAGCTAGTTTTCCATATGTGACTTGTCAGATGGCAGACACAAACAAGCTTAATGAGATAGAGGCATTAAAAAAACAAGATACCTCTAGTAAAATATTGAGTGTTATTAGGAATTCAGGTGGCAGTAGGCAGAAGTGATGACATGTCTCCTAAATTGTGACTTTGAAGTATGGCTTCACTATCTTTTAATATATTAATTGCTACATACAATTATTTGCAACATGTTTTAAATTCAAAGCAAAATAACATAATGAACATCCAGATACCTGTCACCCAACTCAACACAAGCTACTGGTACAGTTCTGCTGATCTGCTCCTCCTCTATTCCATGCCCCACCTCTCTCATCCCCTCCCATAACTGCAATCCTATATTTTGTGCTTATCATTACTTCGCTTTTTAAAAAATATAATCAGTATGTATAATGCATGTCCCTCAACAATACAGTGTTCCATTTTGCTTACATCTGAATTCTATAAAAATGGTATTAAACAGCTCCTGTCTTGTTAGATTTGATTTTTTCATTTGATATTATCTTTCCAAGATTCACCTATGTTGTTGTATATAGTTGTAGTTCATTCACTGTTCACTGCAGAATAACACTGCATTGTGCATACATACCACAACTTAACTATCCATTCTCTTGTCTCAATAGCTTTGTATTTTAACCACAGGGTTTTTATTCCTTTTTTTTTGCGCTATTATGAACATTTGCTATGAAAGTTCTAATACATGCCTCCTATTCCACGTGTCAAAGTTTCTCTTAAGTATATGCCTAGGAGTTGGGGAGTAATCATATGTTCAATTTTTCATGATGATGCTAATTTTTACTTTCCCCAAAGTGTGGTCAGCAATTTATAACTCCACCAACAACAACAGGTAAGTAGTGGGACTGCCACATGCACATCCTCTCCAACATTTAGTAATGCCAACTTCTTAATTTTGGGGTATAAAATGGCATCTAATTGTGGTCTTAGTTTGAATTTTTTTGTTAATGATGCTGAGCATTTCTTCATATTTATTGGCTAACTCATGTTTTCTCTTTTATGAAATGCCTATTCATATCTTTTGCCCATTTCCCTGTGTTGTTTGCCCTTTTCATAATGTTTCTCAAAAATTTTATATGTATTTTAGATGTTGATTATTTGGTTTCACGAGTTTTTAATTCCTACGTACAGGCAAATGTTGAGATAAAGAAGCAGAAGCAAAAATAGCAGGAGGCCAAATAGCTAGAAACAGCAAGCTAGAGTGCTCACGTTTTTCTCAACCATTTTTGAATATCAAAGCAATCAGTAGATATCTTAAAATATCAGAAATGTAAAGTATTATATAATCAATCCAGCTTTACAATCTTTCATTTTAATAGAATAAACTTAACCAAGAAAAAATGTTATGAAATTATTTCAGTACGTTCTAATTGCAATATGCAATATCATTTTCACGTATCAAGTTTTATACACTTCATGATTTAGACGACAATTTGAAGCTCCCATTTTTACCCTGACATTTTATGTATTTTTATTTCATACCTTGCTTGCCTACAATTTAGAATAAGTCAGTTACATTGTCAGAGGGTTAAGTTTAAATGCATATGCATATACGTATGAAAACTGAATTTCAAAACTAAATTGTATAAATTAGAATGCCACAGAGACCTGAATTCTAGACTAGATGATTAGCTATACCACCCTGGCCTAGCAATGTCTTTGAGTTGATTTTCTTATAGTTAACAGGAGAATTATGTTGGGTAAATTCTAAGAGCCTTTGAATCAATCATACTTTTTGGCTTAAAAACCAACGAGTAAATTTTTTTTATTTCCAGATGGTGTCTCTTCCCAAGTTTATAAAGAGTACACAGTAAACTAAATAACAAAATGATAATTTTCTTTTTTTTTTTTTTTAAAGATACAATACAGGGTCTCACTCTGTCACCCAAGTTGGAGTGCAGTGGTGCAATCATAGCTCACTGCAACCTCTTAACTCTCGGGGGGCTCAAGTGATCCTTCCTCCTCAGCCTCCCAACTAACTACAGGCGTACACCATTATGCCTGGCTAACTTAAAAAAAAATTTTTTTTTTTTTTTAGAGAGAACTTCTTGCTATGTTGCCCAAGCTGGTCTAGAACTCCTGGGCTCAGGTGATCCTCCTGCCTTAGCCTCCCAAAATGCTGGGATTACAGGTATCAACCAGCGCAAAAAGCTAATTTTCTAAAAAAAAAAAAAAAAAAAAAATTTAAACAAGCAGCTCTATAGCTCTCTTATGGCTTCCAAGGACTCCTGCCAGACCACCTGATGAAAAGCATCGCACAGGGAAAAAGAAATCAAAAGCCACACAAAACCTGAATCACTCTAAACATGCTGACTTTGATTCCTAAACCAGCGATCAGAAGAGAACTTCCAGAATCTCTCAAGACATTTGTCTACCTGCCTGAATCTATACCCTACCTCTGCACTTTGCTACTAGATGTTACAACCCTACTCCTAACTCAAGGACATTGCTCTAATAAGTCCCACTGCTCTCTCCTACACCATCAATTTCCTCCTTCCAATAAGGCAAAACTATTGGCAGATTACATCTCCAATCAGTAGAAGACAAACAACAACAACAAAAAACCCTCGTGACCCAAAAAAAAACCCCTCTAAATGATGGCCAATTTGTCTGGTTCCCTGTTTGGCAAAACGTCAACAACATGTGCTGTCTGCAAGCGTACTTCCATTCAAATTAAATATACTCCAATTAGATTTTTACTCCACATGACACCACTGAAACTTGAAAGTCACTAATTACCTACATATGATTAAATCCGAAGGCCAGTCAGTTCTTATCTGTCTTGACCTATCTGCAGCATCTGCCATGACTAACCACACACTAATACACTTTTCTTTATCCGGCTTCCAAAACAAAGAGCTCTGTGCATGTCACCCTATCTCACTGGCCACTCCTTCTCAGCCTCCTTTGCGGGTCCCTCCTCTTCTCCTTGACTTCTCAAGTTCAACTTCTTATCCTTTCTTTCTAACTGACCAGCAAGTATAACTGACTCTATCTACAAAATGCATCCAGAATCTGACCACTCCTCACCCCTTACACAGTTAACTACTCTGTGCAAAGTCTGTACCATCTCTCACTTGGATTTCTGCCATAATTCTGTAACTGGCTTCCCAGCTTTTACCCTTGCCTTATTTTCAGTCTCTTCTCACCAAAGCAGCCAGGATGGTCCGGATACCCTGATATAAATCATATAATGTAACATCTGCTCCCCAAAATCTCCCAATGGCTTCCCATCTCAGAGTAAAAGTTAATTTTTTTTTTTTTTTTTGAGACAGAGTCTCTCTTTCCTGCCCAGGCTAGAGTGAGTGCCGTGGCATCAGCCTAGCTCACAGCAACCTCAAACTCCTGGGCTCAAGCCATCCTCCTGCCTCAGCCTCCCGAGTAGCTGGGACTACAGGCATGCGCCACCATGCCCGGCTAATTTTTTCTATATATATTAGTTGGCCAATTAATTTCTAGCTATTTATAGTAGAGACGGGGTTTCGCTCTTGCTCAGGCTGGTTTCGAACTCCTGACCTCAAGCAATCTGCCCGCCTCAGCCTCCGCGCCCGGCCTAAT